ACAGGGATCACTAGATGGCGGACCGTGGTCCAGATTGAGTGACAGTCCTGACCATGGCAATTAGCAGCTGGGTGTCCTCTCCTGGATCTACCACTTGGTCACCAGTGTCATCCTCACAGTAGGGCAGGGGGCAGGAGGTGCTGCAGATCGAGATGGAGAGCGGAGTCTTATTAAATTAACAAGGTAATCACCTGCTTGTTACCATAAGTTGGGCAGCTCCTCAGTCCAGTTCTGCAGCTTCTCCTTCCCCTTGCCCTCCTGTGAGGATGACAGCGGCGGTGGCTGTGCAGGAGATCCAGGAGAAGACACCCCAGGCTGATAAGTGTGTCTGCCCTCCATAAGGTAGGGTTGTACGGGGGGGGGGCTGCATTGAGTGGGGCACTGTTATGTGAGGGCACTGTGATGTAAAGAGACTCTGTGATGTGTAGGGAAATGCAATGTAAAGGGGCACTGTGATGTGAAGAGGATTACAATGTAATGGGGAGCTGTGATGTGAAGGGGAACTGAGGACACCGTGGGACGGCTTTAAAAAGGTGAACTGTGATGTGAAGGGGGTTTGTGATGTAAAGGGGACTGTAGACACTAATGTAAAGTGGGGGGAGGGACTGTGATGTGAAATGGAAACTGAGGACATTGACATAAAGGAGACGATGATGTAAAGGGGGTTATGATGTGGTATAGCTCAAACAGATTTGGACTTCTACTGGAAGAACATTTTACTGCCGAACCTCCATAAATTTTAGTTCAAGACCCCTGGTCCAGTGGTGAGAGCGTGGGTTGTCAGTGCCTGTGGCAAGGCAAGTAATTTGTGCCCACTAACCCTAATTAAAGCAGAGTGTCCAGCCAATAACTCTGATGTAACACTGTCATGTCAGGGTTGAGGACTGGCTGGAAAAAATGGCAACAAAAACTTGTTATAGGGGGAAACTCCTTATCCCAATTGCCCTCTCACCAACTTTCAACCCCCCCCCCCCCCACACACAGCTCTCACCTTTTCATAAATCCCCCCCACAGCTCTCACCTCTTCACAAATCCCCCCCCCCCCACAGCTCTCACCTCTTCTTCACAAATCCCCCCACAGCTCTCACCTCTTCACAAGTCCCCCCTCCCCACAGCTCTCTCCTATTTACAAATAACCCTTTCCCACAACTCTCATCTTTTCACAAATACCTCCCCCCACTCTTCACAAATCCCCCCCACTCTTTACAGCTCTCTCCTCTTCACAAATCTCCCCCCCTCCCCACAACTCTCTCGCTTCTTCACAAATCCCCCCCCTCCCCACAGCCACAGCTCTCACCTCTTCACAAATCCCATCCTACAATCTGTACAATTCTTCCCCCCACACAGTCTTCACAAATCCCACCCCTGTAAACTCTTCACTCTTCACAAATCTCCCCCCCTCCTGCCCACAGCTCTCATCTCTTCACAACCCCCCCCATACACTCTTCACAATTCACCCCCCCCCCACACACACACTATTTCTAGCTCTCATCTTTTCTGATATTCACTCCTCTCTCTCTCACAGAGCCAAGAGCACAGACTGAGGAGGGAGGAGTGCCAGAACATTGCACTCAGCTCTGTGCAACACGGGTGGGGACGAGCTGGAAGGGGGGGGCGGAAGTGACAGGAGCGGCCACCTGAAGCAGCAGGAATGATAAAAAAGCCGATAGTTGTGGCTGCTGGAACATATGCCCTGCACCGCGCATGCCCTGATTGGCTGTCGATAGAACACAGAAGCCAGTAGAGGAAGTGATTAGTGCAAACATTCCTCTACCGCCTGCTGAGTTTGTGTTTGTGAGAGGTTAGATAGGAAAAAGTTAGCCAGAGGTGGTGGAATGGAGTTGCGCCCCTCTAAATTTTGCTCCCGAGGCGAGAGCACCAGCTGCCCCCGTCCCACGTTATGCCACTGCCCTGGTCTATAGTTTAGTTCACATATCAATTGCACATAAAATCTTATCAAATGATAGGATTCACATGAAAAAACTCAATGGGGTTGAAGTACTAAAACTTGAAAGTGCAAAATCTGGTGCAGCTCTGCATAGACATCAATCAGCTTCCAGTTTTTTTTGGTCAAAACTTAATTGAGTTAGAAGCTGATTGGCTACCATGCACAGCTGTATGCTATGGTGTTTCGAATACTGGTCTTCTTCAGGAATAAATGTGATATAAGAAACGTGCTGTACAAAATGGACTAAAGTCCAATCACATTAAAAATCAAAGTGGCTCTCAAACAAAGTGTGTACACAGACATATTATTATTTACTAAATGCAATCTGTATGAATTGTCTTCACAGTAAAGAGTGGAGCCCCTAGTATCCACCATCACCCAAGATCAGACACAAGGGACACTAAAAATGCCAAATGAACTCTAAATAGAAAAAGAAAAATGCACAGTATGAAATATGCTAGGTTCACACCTAAGTGGCTCTACGAGCCGCATTTGTGCGGTCATGGCAGCCCATTCATTTGAACAGGCAGTTGTGCCTGCGTTTTGGGCAGGAAAAGGGATTCTGCACTTTTTTAAAACATGGCCATGGAGAAACTGCTTGCTTTTTGTACCATGTGATTTCCCACAACTGGAAACAGGCTGGTAAAAGAGGCAGAAAAAGGGGACTATAAACATCCCCATTAGGAATCCCCAAGGCACTTATGGGTTTTTGGACAGCTGATTGACTGTGCGGCCATGAAGTCACTTTTGCAATACCCATACCTTATGCTAATAGGATAGGTGATATCCAAGGAGTATTTTTACCAAGATCAAAAATGTTTGTCTGATCAATCAGTCAGCTTCCTCCACATCTTGACAGATTAAACTGGCTAAGGAAATGAAAGGAAATAGCTTAGAATGCAGAACATACATGGGTGCATGCACATAGGTGCATACTATATATAGATTAGACAAATACAGTATACTGGATGTGTGGAAGGTCTGTATTTTGCTAAAGGTTTTATGAAAGGAAAAACTGGAAGTAGAGTTATAGGGCTTTTAATTATTATACTTTTTTTGTATATAGTCTCCTAGACTGGTGTAGCCAGGTACTGGGCTATGACAGTATGGAGGCAATTATTATTATTTATTTATTATACAGTATTTATAAAGCGCCAATGGTTCGCTCAGCGCTGTACATTACAAAGGGGGACAGAACATGTGACAGAACAATAACAATACAATGCAAAACATGAGGGGATCGAGGGCCCTGCTCTTTCGAGCTTACAATCTAGGAGGGAGGGGATACTGGTACAGGAGGAGATAGCTGTGGAGGATGGAGTGGTAGGAAGAGTGGAGGAGGTTGGCAGGTTAGCAAGGGGTGGGGTAGGCTTCCCTGAAGAGATGGGTTTTCAGGGTGCGCCTAAAGGAGAGGAGAGTAGGTGATAATCTGATGGGTTGGGGCAGGGAGTTCCAGAGGATGGGTGACACCCTGGAGAAGTCCTGGAGGCGGGCATGGGAGGAGGAGACAAGGGAACTAGAGAGAAGGAGGTCTTGTGAGGAGCGGAGTGTGCGTGCTGGGCGGTACTTGGATATTAGGTCAGTGATGTAGTACGGGGCAGTATGGTGTGACAGCTTTGTACGTCAGTGTTAGGATTTAGAATTTGATCCGTTGCGCAATCGGAAGCCAGTGGAGGGATTGGCAGAGGGGGCTGGCGGAGATGGAGCGTGGGAAAGGTGAATGAGTCTGGCAGCTGTATTCAGGATCGACTGAAGCGGGGATAGCCAGCGGCGAGGCAGGCCAGTGAGGAGGGAGTTGCAGTAGTCGAGTCATGATATGATGAGGGAGTGGATGAGCTGTTTAGTGGTTTCTGGGTTAGGAACGTGCGTATTTTGGCGACGTTGCGGAGGTGGAGTCTGCACGAGTTTGTTAAAGATTGGACTTGGGGCTGGAAGGATAGGTTGGAGTCCAGAATGACACCAAGTACTCTGGCCTGTGGGGCGGGGTTTGATGGTGGCGTTGTTGGATGTGACGGAGAAATCAATGGGGGGGGGGTGGGGTCCGTGGGCTGGGGGAAGACAGAAACTCGGTTTTGGAGAGGTTCAGTTTAAAGAAGTGGGAGCGACATTAAGTCTGATATGTCGCTCAGTAGGTGTGTGATTCGGGGCGGAGACCGAGGGGGTGAGGTGGGCGGTTGAGAGATAGATTTGTGTGTCGTCGGCATAGAGGTGGTAGTTGAAGCCGTTAGAGTGTATGAGTTGGCCAAGGGAGGAGGTGTAGATGGAGTAGAGAAGGGGCCCGAGGACAGAGCCTTGAGGGACCCCAACAGAGAGGGGGAGTGAGGGGGAGGTGGTAGCATTATAGTTAACGCTGAAAGAGCATTGTGACAGGTAGGATGAAAACCAGGAGAGAGCAGAATCTCTGAGGCCAAGGGAGTGTAGTTTTTTGAGGAGGAGGGGGTGGTCGACTGTGTGTCGAAGGCCGCAAAGAGGTCAAGGAGCTCTTTATTTACTTCTCTCCCTCATCTGAGATATTAATGTTGTACTGCACAACTCTCATCCTGCCAGCAGGGGGACAGCCAAGTCAAGCAAACCCATAGACTTTAATGTAAAGGAAAACCTGGCAGGTGTAATCTAAGGCAGCGGCCATGTAAAAAAACAACTGTCTCTTTGAACTATAGGTTTCAAACACACTCTGTGCAGTAGGAGGAGCCTCAAGTGGCTTTTTATTCTTTTGCCTGAGAATGCCAGCTCTCTTGGCACCATGGAGTCTATACCTACAGATCAGTTTTGTACCATTGACTGTATACAGGAGAGTTATACTGTCTTCTATCTCTAGAGCCTGAGATACAGAGCGAGATAAACAGACGTCTAGCAGCACCACTGACCTGCTGACCCCTTTTGTGGTTGCTGTCAGGAATGGACTGGCCAGCAATGGAGTGGGACTTCCTAGTCACCTGCCTTTTAATCTGCAGTACCAGGGCTGGCCAGCGGGTGCTCCCAGCAATCAGAGACTCAACCTTTCAGCCAGCTAAACACCTGGAACTGATGATACTGGAGGTGTATTTAAGGGATGGCCAGACTTGCAGACTCTGCCTTGGTGTTGTGTTTGTCCTGGGCCCTGTATCTGTCCGTTGCATCCTGTTTCTGTTCCTTTGCTGACTCTGCCTGATCTGAACCGCTGCTGACTCTCCTCCTGCTCTGATCCCGGCTCGCTCCTGACCATCCCTCTGCCTGACCCTCTGTACCACGCTGCTTGCTACCTGTTCTGATCCCTGGCTTGTGACCCTGACCATCCCTCTGCCTGACCCCTCTGTACTACGCCTGCTAGCTACCTGCTGAACCCTGGCCTGTGACCCCGACCCATCTCCGCTTGCTCCCCCCTGTACACTACCCCTGCCCTATTGATATTGACCCGGCCTGCCTGACGACGCTTGCTTGTATGTACTGTTATCTGTGGGTGGTTGTTTGGTTTGTTTGCACTGTATTATGTTTTAGTATTGCACTGCGTTTATGTTTGTATTGTTAGTGTTAATAAATTATATTGTTTATCACATATCTGAAGTCTGCGTTTCCCTGCGTCAGTCACACACCTCTGGTCACACCTGGGAGCCCTGACATTACACCAAGGCCAATCCTGACCAGAAGTCGCTGTACAGGGAAGCCATCTTGGCTTGTTGATGGGAAGGATGGATCTGGATGAGGTATTTATATCTGCTAGTGTTTGATGACAGGGAGTATGCTTATCAAAACTCTGAAGGAAAAAAAAAGTATCCCCGGGATGAAAACTGCTAGAATGTATACGGCTCGCATCCTCTGTCATGTTCTAGTAGATCAGGGCACAGAGTTCTCTGAGGTGCAGCCTTTGATTGAGGTTTGTGCTGAGGGGGTGAGTTGGTTTCTTCTGGTACCCCCGAATGCAGGGATGAATTTTTGCCACCATTTAGTGCAGACCAGGTTTGAGTCCCTGGTGTAGTTATTAGAGGATGATGTGGGTTACTTTCTGGAGCGTTATTCCACATGTTCACCACAGGTACTAAGAGATTGTATAAAACGCAGTGCAGTCTTTGGGTCAGACAGGCTTTGTGTAAGCTCAGCTTTGTTCAAACCCTACTGCAGACATGGACAGATTTGTTGCACCCAGCCTCAGTCAGCTTACAAAAACCCAGTCCTGCTTCTAATCTATTTCCTCAAAACTCTATTCCTGCATTCCCAACAGCTCCTCCTGCCCTGCTATCTACCGCATGTCAGTACCCCTGTTCCCAACTCGCTGCACCTATCCTGCCTTTAACCCTGTAAAAAAAGCCCTCTGTAGGCACAACTGCTCCCTCTCTGCTGTTTCCATCCTCCAGTTCTTCTCTGTCTCCAGCTGCTCATTTGTTTGCAGACCTGCGTTTTACTTGCAGTGCTCCAGTAGTTTTAAAAACCAGAAAAAAAGCGAAAATTCTTTCCAACCAATACCATCCTGCCAGTATCCAAACCGGTGAGCCTGCCTTCCGTGGTTCAGCCTGACAGCCTCTACTCAGCCTGAAGCCTCTACTCGGCCTGATGCCTGTACTCGGCCTGATGCCTGTACTCGGCCTGAAGCCTGTACTCGGCCTGAAGCCTGTACTCGGCCTGATGCCTGTTTTATTACTCGGCCTGATGCCTCTATTCGGCCTGATGCCTCTATTCGGCCTGATGCCTGTACTCGGCCTGATGCCTGTACTCGGCCTGAAGCCTCTACTCGGCCTGAAGCCTCTACTCAGCCGGGACGCCGGCATTCAGCCTGATGCCTCTACCCAGCATGATGAACTGATCCAGCCTGACGATCCTATTAGGCCAGTTGACTCGATGCCCCGCTGTTGATCCAGATGATCCGGTACCTGATCCGGTGCCCGCTATCATGCCAGTTGACTCGGAGCCCACTGCCTTGCCAAATGACGCGGTGCCCGCTGTCGAGCCAAATGACCTGATGCCTGGTGACCCAGTGCCCGCCTGTCATACCTGGTGACCCGATGCCCGCTGTCGAGCCAGACAATCCGGTACCTGATGACCCCGGTGCCCACTGTCGTGCCTGTTGACTCGGAGCCAAGTGCCTTGCCAGATGACGCGGTGCTCGCTGTCGAGCCAAATGAATTGATGCTGGTGACCCGATGCCCGCTGTCCAGTCAGACGATCCAATGTCTGACCCAGTGCCCCGCGGTCATACCAGTTGGACTCGGAGCCCACTGCCTTGCCAGATGACGCGGTGCCCGCTGTCGAGCCAAATGACCTGATGCCTGGTGACCCGATGCCCCGCTGTCCAGCCCCAGACGATCCAATGTCTGACCCAGTGCCAGCGGTCATGCCAGTTGACTCGGAGCCCACTGTCGTGCCTGGTGACTCGGTGCCCGCCGCTTCGCTGGGGGGCCGAGACCTGTCGCTCCGCCTGGGGGGGTCCGGCGCCCGCCGCTCCGCCTGGGGGGTCCAGCGCCCCGCCGCCCCGCCTTGGGGCCCGAGACCTGTCGCTCCTCCTGAGGTCCCGAGACCTGTCGCTCCACCTGGGGGTCCGGCGCCCGCCGCGTCCGCCTGAGGGGCCCGAGACCTGTCGCTCCGCCTGGGGGTCCCGGCCGACCCGCCCGCTCCGCCTGAGGGCCCGGAGACCTGTCGCTCCACCTGGGGGTCCGGCGCCCGCCGCTCCGCCTGAGGGCCCGAGACCTGTCGCTCCACCTGGGGTCCGGCGCCCGCCGCTCCGCCTGGGGGCCCGAGACCTGTCGCTCCACCTGGGGGTCCGGCGCCCGCCGCTCCGCCTGAGGGCCGAGACCTGTCGCTCCATCTGGGGGTCGGCGCCCGCCCGCTCCGCCTGAGGGCCCGAGACCTGTCACTCCATCTGGGGGTCCGGTGCCCGCCGCTCCGCCTGGGGGTCCGGCGGCCCGCCGCCTCGCCTGGGGGCCCGATGCCCGTCGCCCCGCCTGGGGGCCGGATGCCGTCGCCCCGCCCGGGGGCCCGATGCCCGTCGCCCCGCCGGGGGCCCGATGCCCGTCGCCCCGCCGGGGGGCCCGAAGCCTGTCGCCCCCGCCGGGGGGCCCGGCGCGCTGTCGCCCCGCCCGGGGGCCCGATGCCTGTCGCCCCGCCCGGGGGGGCGGGGGGGGGCCCCCGGTGCCTGTTGCCCCGCCCGGGGGCCCGGTGCCTGTCGCCCCGCCCCGGGGGCCCCGGTGCCTGTCGCCCCGCCCGGGGGCCCGCTGCCTGCTGCTCCGCCCGGGGGGCCCGGTGCCTGCTGCTCCGCCTGGTGGCCCGCTGCCTGCTGCTTCGCCTGGTAATCCGATGTGCCTCTGCCCGGAGTCCTGCCCGATGTGCTTCTGCCCGGAGTCCAGCCCGATGTGCCTCTGCCCGGAGTCCAGCCCGGTGTGCCGCTGCCCGGAGTCCTGCCCGGTGTGCCAGTCTTTGATTATCCCGCCAGTTACCAGACCCGGGCGGTGGAACATTTTGCCCAGCTAGGACTGTTTGGAGCGTCCTGAGGCCGCTCCTTGAGGGGGGGGGTGGTACTGTCAGGAATGGACTGGCCAGCAATGGTGGGACTCACCTGCCTTTTAATCTGCAGTACCAGGGCTGGCCAGCGGGTGCTCCCAGCAATCAGAGAGACTCAACCTTTCAGCCAGCTAACACCTGGAACTGATGATACTGGTGTATTTAAGGGATGGCCAGACTTGCAGACTCTGCCTTGGTGTTGTGTTTGTCCTGGGCCCTGTATCTGTCCTGCATCCTGTTTCTGTTCCTTTGCTGACCCTGCCTGATCTGAACCGCTGCTGACTTCTCCTGCTCTGATCCCGGGCTCGCTCCTGACCATCCCTCTGCCTGACCCTCTGTACCACGCTGCTTGCTACCTTTCTGATCCCTGGCTTGTGACCCTGACCATCCCTCTGCCTGACCTCTCTGTACTACGCTGCTAGCTACCTGCTGAACCTGGCCTGTGACCCCGACCCATCTCCGCTTGCTCCCCCTGTACCTACCTGCCCTATTGATATTGACCCGGCCTGCCTGACGACGCTTGCTTGTATGTACTGTTATCTGTGGGTGGTTGGTTTGGTTCGTTTGCACTGTATTATGTTTTAGTATTGCACTGCGTTTATGTTTGTATTGTTAGTGTTAATAAATTATATTGTTTATCACATATCTGAAGTCTGCGTTTCCCTGCGTCAGTCACACACCTCTGGTCACACCTGGAGCCCTGACATTGCAGAAATTCTGTATTTCATTATGATCAAGTCTTTACAGCACCTTTACCAAACTCTGAGCTGAAGTCATGCTGCATCATTTCTACCTCTAGCCCACCTTTATTTCACTGTGTGAGAGTGTGCACCAACTTTCCATTGAAAGTCCCCAACGTTAGCCGGCAGAAGAGCAATCTTAAGGACTGCCCCTTTCTGTTCATCCTACAATTTTCCCTCTATTTCCCTCTTTACTGTTTTTCATTATTTAGATCTGACTATGTCTGTCCAGTCGGTTTAGTTCTAGAACCCAAGTAGTGCACTCGGGCAGTGTAGCTCCCATATTGGTAATTCAAACCTCATAGCTGCCTGCTGTTGCATTTCAGGTAGTGCTAATATTGTTTATGCTGGCCTGGGCGTTTATGTGCTATTTAAGCTTACCTGTTTACTGTTAGCCATCCTGTTTACAGAACTGTGTTACCACAATTGCCAATCTGTTTGTATTTGCTTGGCTATCGACCTTACTGGTTTGGTGCCTGCTTTCAAGATAGTACTACTATTGGGTGATATGAATTATTTGTTGTGTTTCACTGTGTTTACTTGCTTTTAATCTTAACCTCTTTACTCTTAAGGCCCTTGGGAAAGTCGAGGCAAAGAATAGAGGACCCACCTTATTCAGTGGCTCCTTTGGGGGTAACACTATAGTTGTCATCTGTTTCTGGGACTCTAATATTCAATAAATGCTACACTGTCCGGAAAAGCATTGAGTTTGCCTGGAACTTGCTGAAGAGGTTGCATTCTGTACATATCCTTTTCCAGTGATTATATATACTTTATATTAATAATACAACAATCCCAGCATGCAAAATCGCCTGTGAATCTAAAAATTTTAGTGGGGGTAAATGCTTTGGTAAGAACTTTCTGATATGGGAATTTCCCTCAAATTGGGAAGAATTCTTCTCACTTTCTGTTACATTCCCAAGACAGGAGGTAAAGGTAAATCTCCCCAGCAGGATACAGATGGCAAAAAGATGATCATTAGTCAGTCATATACCTTCATTAGCTGACAAAAGCTACAAAATCACACACTTTGTTGTTGTTACTATTTTTATTAATCTCTATCATTTCTAATTTGTATCCCTAACACCGCTTGTAAATTCTTGAAAAAAAATGTATAAACAAAAAACAACGAAAATATATAACATTAAAAAATATTGCAAGACTGCATCCTAAGTCACATACGTTAATACAAGGTATAACCCTAACTTTTTTTTTTTTCAGTTGTCCAGGTCACAGGTGTCAACCAAAACAGGAAGCAAAGGATAATCTCCCTAAAGGAAGTTATAAGTTTGACAAGAGTTATACAGTGAAGGAAAGAAGTATTTGATCTCCTGCTGATTTTGAATGTTTGCCCACTCACAAAGAAATCATCAGTCTAAAAATCGAATGGTAGGTGTTTTGTAACACTGAGAGACAGAATAGCAACAAAAAATTCAAAAGAAATGCATGTCTAACAAATGATGCACTGATTTGCATGTTCATAAGTATTTGATGCCCTTCACAAAACATGACTTAGTACTTGATGGCAAATCCCTTGTTGGCAATCACAGAGGTCAGACATTTCCTGTAGTTGGCCACCAGGTTTGCACACATCTCAGGAGGGATTTTGGCCCACTCCTCTTGGCAGATCCTCTCCAAGTCATTAAGGTTTGGTGGCTGACGTTTGGCAACTTGAACTTTCAGCTCCCTCCACAGATTTTCAATTGGATTAAGGTCTGGACAGTGGCTAGGCCACTCCTGGACCTTAATGAGCTTCTTCTTGAACCACTCCTTTGTTGACTTGGCTGTGTGTTTTGGGTCATTGTCATGCTGGAACACCCATTCATGACCCATTTTCTATTCCCAGGCTGAGGGAAGAAGGTTCTCAGCCAAGATTTGACAGTACATTTCCCCGTCCATCGTCCATTTGATGCGGTGCAGTTTTTCTGTCCCCTTAGCAGAAAAAACACCCCCAAAGCAGAATGTTTCCACCAACATGTTTGACAGTTGAGATGGTGTTCTTGGGGTCATAGGCGGCATTCCTCCTCCTCCAAACACGGCGAGTTGAGTTGATGCCAAAGAGCTCAATTTTGGTCTCATCTGACCACAACACTTTCCACCAGTCCTCCTCTGCATCATTCAGATGTTCAGTGGCAAACTTCAGATGGGCCTGGACATGTGCTTTCTTGAGCAGAGGGACCTTGTGGGCACTGCAGGATTTCAATCCTTGTCGGCGTAGTGTGTTACCAATTGTTTTCTTGGTGACTGTGGTCCCAGCTGCCTGGAGATCATTGACAAGATCCTCATGTGTAGTTCTGGGATGATTCCTCACTGTTTCATGATCATTGAAACTCCACGAGGTGAGATGTTGCATGGTGCACAAGACCTAGGGAGACTGACAGTTTTGAGTTTCTTCCATTTCCAAATGATTGCACCAACTGTTGTCACCTTCTCACCAAGCTGCTTGGCCATAGTTTGGTAGCCCAGTCCAGCCTTGTGTAAGTCCACAATCTTTTCCCTGACATCCTTGGACAGCTCTTTGGTCTTTGCCATGGTGGAGAGTTTGGAATCTGATTGTTTGATTGCTCCTGTGGACAGGTGTCTTTTATACAGGTAACAAAACGAGATTAGTAGCACTTCCTTTAAGAGACTGCTTCTAATCTCAGCTTGTTACCTGTATGAAAGACACCTGGGAGCCATAAATCCTGCTGAATGATAGGGGATCAAATACTTATTTCCCTCATGAACATGCAAATCAGTGCATAATTTGTTAGACATGCATTTCTTTTGAATTTTTGTTGCTATTCTGTCTCTCAGTGTTACAATACACCGAACATTTGATTTTTAGACTGATTGTTTCTTTGTGAGTGGGCAAACATTCAAA